TATGGATTTCATGAAGAAGGTCAGCCATATCGTTATGTAGGCAGAGGACACTACGGTCACTTACAATGGTAGAACTCTCTTCAGTTGTCTTACAGCTACCGAAGAAGTGGTGCTAGTTCATAAGAGCTTACAGGATGACCCCACCCTCACCAACAGGACCACCCTCAACACCAACAAAGTGTGAGTGTGTGTGTGCTCTTGGAATTCTGGCATCGATCCATATAACTCACATAGAGGAGCAATTACCACGAGCGGAAATGTGGGTGCACCATGAATTCCCCAGTTTAACCCATTGTGGCTAACTCTTATAAGCAGGAAGTGGGAAACAAAGACTGCTAAGTCATCCTGTCCTCGAACACCACTGGTTCAGATATGTGGATGACTCCTGGGTGAAAGTCAAATTTCGGGATGTAAAACCAATCACAGATGACATTAAGGTGGTGCAAAAACACATCAGGTTCACCAGGAAGGATATGAAAAACGACACGCTAGCTTTCTTAGACTGGCAAATTGCCATCAGTAATAGGGGACATTTGAAAGTCATTGCGTAGTGTAAGCCAACGCATACAGTACTTAAGGTTTGACTCTCATCATCCACAACCTAGCACGACCTAGATGTCATCAGGACGCTATAAGACAGAGGGAACACCATGAGATTGGCTGCTGTGAGTAAATGTGATCATTCTAGCTGGATATTTGTTAAGACTTGGAAGGTACCCAAAGAACGCTACGGGGGAACTGAGCGAGACGAAGGACAAGCTCTGGCTGAAGGAAAACCTTTGGTGATCCCTTATGGTTTTAGGAGTTTCAGAGGAGCTCAGATGAACTGTCTGAAAACGCTGTGCCTCGGTGGTTTTCACCCTCCGAAACTGACAGCATTGCTCCCAATACGCACAAAAGCAAGCAGACACTTCGAGCCAGCCAGGAGTCGAACCTAGAATCTTCTGATCCGTGGTCAGACGGATTATCCATTGCGCCACTGGCCCACCGCCAACAAAATCAAAAGGTCAGGTGAGGTCAAAGTTTGTTCTCTGACCAAATTTGTACAATATTTAAGAGCGTATCCATGCCAACACGAAAAACAGCACACTATTCAACTTCACTTTTCTTATTTTCCTTTCCCTTCCTCACTACACAAGAAAGAGCCACGAGGGGAACCTAGGCTATGTCCATACTACCCCAGATAGAATTGAAAACAGCATTTTTGTCTGAAAACTCTCCGCTCTCACTTCTATTTAATTATGCTTTACATTGCCTCTTGAGCATGGCTTTGAGAAGCAGCTATGTGTTGTATAGCTGCTATGACAGGAAAAATTTACATTTTGTCACAAGTAGAGACACCTCATCAAACTGTTTGAACAAGACTAAATTGCAATTTATTCATGGAATAATGAGCACTTGGTTTGTGTATGGTAGCTGCCTACAGAGCTGATTTTGTATTTACCTACCTTTGCTGACCTTTGTGTCAGACCAACGTTTGCTGGTCTGCCACAAAGTAATTAGCCATTATTATAATGACTTGCACATATAGTAAACGGCAGAGGGGCATAGAGATGTATATTACAATGATACCCATTCAGCAAAATTCTGGCATCAACTGTGAAGTGTGAAAAAATAATTAAACACTCTTGTTATAGTCTGTATAAAAACAAAAGTCTAAAACTATCACACAGTGCACTCTCACCAGTGATGTGGGAGTACAGTTTGCAACTGAAAGTTTTTTTCTCTCTCTGAAAGGTAAATTAAAAATCATTTGTGGATGTGTTTCAGTCCTTGACATTGTGTTTTATATTTGTAAATCAAGGAAATCAGTGGGACAAATATCCAGCTTTCTTTTGTTAACAGTTGCTCCGGAAGATTATTAACACAAGCTCAAGATTTCAACAGAAGCCATTCATTGTAGTTTGATTGCTAAGTGTAGGATTCATGTGAATGTATCTGTCCTGCCTCACCAAGACTGCAAGGGGCTTTTGTGGTCGCCCTCTCCAACAAGTGCTTCCTTGTTGAGTTTACAGTGTCCACCAATCTCTCCTGCCTGAATGAAGTCCTCTTTGTACCTGCAGCATAAACACAGTTGACTTTCAAAGCATGCTCATTGATGTTTAAAAAAATAAAAATAAAAACTGTATTTTCAATTGCACTGACCTCTCATGACTTCTGCGTGGCTTTCGTAAGTCCAGGTAAAGATTTGTAGCCTTGCAGAATCTAGTGTGACTACAACACTTTAATGAGGAGTCCCCCTTGAAATGCAAATTCATAAATATTTAGTATTCAGGTGACCAGCAAAATGTGGACCTTAAAGGCCATGAGAGTGGCCTCTTTACTAGGTTCTCTCTATACCACTGCTTTTGAACTTGAAATTATTTTAGGCTCATTGTCTGTGGACTCCTGTTGAATACTGCGTCTATTTCTACCTGTTGTTTCTTCCTGTTGACTCAAAGGCGTGTGGGAACTAAGGAAATGAGCAGACTTACTGGCCGGGTAGCCTTGCAGAGTGTTTTGAGCTCAGAGAGGCGCTCTTTGACGTAGCCGAAATCAGCCTGCTTCCAGAAAAGTTCCTGGGCGGCATCCAGTGAACGGGCCCTGACAGATTCAGACAAATCAGCAAAAGCACAACCATTACACCATCGATGACGCACACTTTGCATGAAACCACTTATACTGTGGAAAATTACATACACTGCAACTCAGTAAATCCAAAATTTCTTAATTTAAAAATCACGACAATAACTTTGGTAATTTCACTGAATATGATGTGAGGGACAGTACCATCCAGAGTCAGCTTTGGTGCACATAGGATAGCTGAAGCGTTTCTCTGGATCACAGTTCTTCTCATAACCCCAACAAAAAGACAGATCCTGGAGTGCATCCTGTTGTCAAAATACAAATTAATATAAGCAGTGTTGTGTGTGTATGTAGGAGAGAGAGGGTGTGAGAGAGAAAGAAATAAAGAAAAGTTACATTAAATCTTATCTTTCTTTTAGAAAATCCATTAGAAACAGAATGTAATATGCAATGTGAAAGACACAGCAGTGGTGATGTATTATCTGCTAATCCATTTACCTAACTAACCTAACTAAGCTGATGCAAAGTCTGTCTAGAAGCAATGGCCCCAGGCACTTAGTTGTGTAGTTATTTTGAATTAACAGAATTAACTTTATTCACTTAAGTCTTACAAAAACCACGTGGAAAGTTTGCAGTTTCACCAAAATAAGATTTTAACAAGCTTTTAATTCAGCTGCTTCTATTTAGAGGAGTCTCTCTCTTGTAAAGAAGCACAGACAAAGCAAAATAAACTGTTAAGTTTCTTCTTTCTGAGTTCAGGAAAACAATATCCATTAAACCAATGCACAGAAATCCAGTATTTCAAAATTACTACTGTGTGGATCACAAGGAAATAGCTCGCATGATGCCTATACTCACAGGCAAAATAATTAATTAACCATTTTCATGTGAGTCATAAGTTAACAAGGTTACCTGTTATATTTTTTTATTCTGAAAGTAAAGTAAAGAACAAACATTAACTCCAACCAAGTTCATATCTTACTTTAAAAGGGCAGAGCGGGTCCAGGCGGCATCGCTTGGCGACCCTCTTGTTGTTGTTCAGGAAATAGGGTACGTGCTCTGGTGGCAGGGAGATCGTGCTGTAGTTGAGAGTTGGTGTTGGTGGTTTGTGGTGTGGGTTTTCAGGCGTCTCAGTGATTACCACAAAGGGTGAAAAAACTATGCTCAGTGCTACCAGGAGCAGCATAGTCAGAATTACACAGACATGCGAAATAGATGCTTCCCTTCACCGCACACTGTGAAAAGGCAAGAGGCAGAGAAACAGACTCAGACTTGCAATGGGTAAAACTTAACACTGGAGTATACAAGCATGTGGGTACAAGCAAGTGCATGGGAGTGTAGCTCTGGGCAGATCTAAGCTTCACAAAAGGAAACGTTTTTTGTCTTTTTTGTTAGTGTTAGTGACCTTTTTCCGTTAGTAACCACAACTGAGGCTGCAGGGCCAAATGAGAAATATTCACTGGTAATAATGTGACCTAATATGCAGGTAGCCAGTGCAGTACCTGGTATTTACACAACAGCCAAATTTGCATGATCAATGCTATTTTGTCAAAAGTATGCATGTTCTTGCACAGCCTGGAGCCTTCGTCCCAATACCATTGACTGATGATTGAATAGTACAGTGTGACCTTTCTTAAAGCAGATACCACATTGTGCTGTATAACAAATGGCTCCCACACAGTTTCACATTCAAATGAAGGGAAGGAAACGAGGAAACTGCCTTATGCTGCACATTTGGTAACAATAGGTGGTGAAGGTTAACGTTATCGGTCAATTAATTGCATATTCTCCTGGTGGTAACGTTGACACAGTTAGGTAAAGCTTAAATGTGTGTGACGTTAAGGCGGTGGTACTGATGTGACTGGAGACATGAAATTAAGAGCGCTACATCAAAGCACCGGCTAAGCATATATTGATCAAACTCAGTAATACCTGTGGAACACAAGTAAGCCTAAAACACGTCACCGACGAATTGTATCTATTTTTTACGATTATGGTTAGGTATATTTTAAATCTTCAAAATGAGTAGTTTTAAAAAAAGCCCTTGAGAAATCTGGCTTCATTTCCTCGAGTTTCTGACGTGCAGGAGCTCTCCGAGCGCATGAAAACTTCGTTTTTAGAGCGTTTAATTAATTCTTAAGTTTTAGCTAGCTTCCGGTCAATTAGCAAGTTAACTAAACTTTACCTCTACGTCGCGACCGTCAATAGTGACCTAACAGGCACGTGAGATGAGATTGAGGAGCTGTTGTGATTATAACGCATTACTTAAACGTTTCTTCGTCTGTGGATAAAAAAAAAAGGAAAATACGAACTGAGGCTGACCGGTAACTGAAGTATACTATGCAGAGGCTAACATCTAGCCTTTAAGTTCTTGACAAAGACAAGGAGCCCCCTTAACGTTAATTTTAAGATAGACTAAAGAGGCAGTACAAGAAAAGGAGCAAGAAAAAATGTTTTTACATTTCCGAGAAACAAAACCTTTAAAAGAAACGAGACCCTTATCAGTGGTTGCCTATAAAAGATTGCTATAAGTTTATATGAGAGACAGTTTACCTGAATGCAGTCTGCTTTCCCCAGATTGAAGCGATGCAGTGACCGGCGGTCGCCATAACACCGGAAACCTTACACCGGCATGTAATACGAACATTCGGCCATAGGGTGGCGCTGTCCACCGCAGTTTTCTGATAGTAAACGGCACTATAACGCTCTCCACACTCCACGTTATTACAAAATACATCATTCAGTTTAATAATAAAAACACAAATATTCAGTGCAAACTTGTTAATGTGCTTTGTCTCTTACAGAATATTATTCAAATGTAACTAAGGCCACTCAGTTTCAGAATATCATCTCACATTCTAGGTGTTACAATATGGCATTAGTAATTTGTATCAGTCATTTTTTTAAGTTTTAGTCTTGCCAAAAAGTGAAAGAGACACATAGAATTGTTCAGAACAGATTTATTGTTGTGTTGCACTGAGATGTAGTGTTTTATTTGAATGCAATGAAAATTCGATCTTCTGTGTGATTTAACAATAAAGAACCAACTTACTTTTTACTAACCTAATAAATGTATATTAATTTACATATGTATAAAGTTTGAAATCCAATCTTCAGGATTTCACTCAAAGACTATTCAGGCCTACACCACACTTTGTGATCTGTAAGGTGTTAAGAACAATACATAAATTTCTCTGTACAATACATTTTATATATATCTTAAACCTTTCTGATTATGACGAAATGTTGGATGAATTCATATAGTGAAAAAACCTTCACCAGCTCATACAATTTAAACTATACAATACAATGTTAAAGGTTCAATCACAAGAAATTTTGAAAGCAAACTCCCAAAGATTCCAGATGGACGAGTCAAGTCAACGTCGACAATTCTTCACATACTGATTCTGTATTCATTGTATGCTTTGCACAATTCCAATATTGACACTTAAATAAAGCATATGATAATCAATTAAAACAAAATAACAAATATGAATGAATTTCCTTCTTACACAGTGATTCAACTTAAAAGTTCTGCCTCATTGTTTCTTGTGAATGCATTTATTGTTGATATTGTCAGCTGATTCGTGCCCCAAAATAACACGTAAAGGAAACTGGTTTATTTCTGGTTCTTCAGCAATTCGTCGATTTGGGTTTTGTACATATTCTTTACATCTTCAAGGTCCAATCTCAGTTCCTCTGCTTCTTCAGCCTTTTCTCCATACATCTGCAGAATGGTGTTATGCCTCTGCTCCAGATCCTGAAATGCACAGCCACAATAATCAGAAGACACTCTCTCTCAAGAGGAAATATGATTCAATTCAAGGTTTGACATATGGCAGCATGGAAATTGTATAACATCAATTCCCTGCACTGTACAGCCTTGTACCTTCAGCTGAACTTTCAACTTGGGGATCTCTGTCACCTTCTCCTCCATCTCATCGTTTTGATTTGTGAGTCGAACCAGCTCCTGTGCCATCACAGATCGTCTCCTCTCCAGATTAGCGATCTCAAGCTAAAAAGGGGAGAAAAAGAAAAGGACAAAAAGGTGAGGTGCAGTACAAATAACTGCGTGCATTTGCTGATAGCAGAAGCAACAGCCTAATCACTAAAATTTTAATTCGACATTACCTGCAGCTGTGCTATCTCTCCTTCTCTCAGTTTGAGTTGAGACTGGAGGTTTTCTATGATGCTGGAGCCTCCAGACAGTCTGGCCGCCTCATACAGGTTGGTCCCACTCATCGACATGGACATAGTCATAGTGCCCAGCGAATGGTCTAAAGAGTCATCCTGCAGATGGATTAAGAAGAAGGAGAAAAATAATGTACAAAAGGACATCACAGCATTTAAAAACTCATCTTCAGTTTACAGAGCTTAACCTTTTTTATCGTATTCCTAACTACCTCTATGAGAAAAGTAGAATGCACCTGTGAAAGAACAGAAGTGTGCAGCCCATTGTCTGCCCCACTCATCGAGCTGGAGCGAGATAAGGAGGGTGTAGATGATGCTAGGGCCTCTCCAACTGATTGTGTCGTGGCCTTTCGCTCCTGGTAGGACACAATTGAAATAATGAAGTCATGACTGAATGAAGAAAAGTCAAAACAGAAAAGAAAAGGAAAAAAAACAACACATAAGAGATTCTCTCAAACCTTTTCCTTGAGTGCTTCCTGTGCCAAATAGCATTTCTTCTTTTCTTGCTCTACCTTCATCTTCTCCATCTCTAACTGATTAGTCAGCAGTAACTGGTAGAAGGAGCAAAAAAAAGATGCCCATGAGAAATCATTTTCATACAGGACAACATCATAAGTAGAAAATAGCTTTTTTGGTACCTTTTCTTTCTTTGTTTCCTCTAACGTTCGATTGTGTTCTCCTTGCAGGTTTTCCAATTCAACACGATCCCTACATTGATAAAATGAGCAAGAAGTCACCAAAAAAAATTAAACAGCAATAAAAACAGTGCAATACATCTGTGAAATGCTACAAATGAAAGCCTAACTGTGTGATATAAAGGATTACTTTTCTACTTTTCTACATGGTTCCTCAGGGAGAAAAAAAAAGGTTTATATCTAATGTATTTATATTTCCAACAACTTGTTTTTTGTTAAAAGACCAAAAACAGTGACGAGCCAGCCAGGAGTCGAACCTAGAATCTTCTGATCCGTAGTCAGACGCGTTATCCATTGCGCCACTGGCCCCACCACACCCTCTGCTTTCCTCATCAAAGAAAACAGTCTGCCACTGAAACCACGTGCTGACACATGAGTGGGTGTTGAGGGGCCTCAGCTTCACAGTCACAAATGGCTTTGTTGAAAAACAAAAGCACTCCAGGAAGGATTAGCATTACAAGCGAGACTACTGTGACTCAGTTTTCCTGTCTCACTGAGAAAAACCCGAGCTACTCATTTCTTTTCACATACATATGAAAGAACAAAACCAAACTGCAATCTACAAACAAAGCTTGGCAGAGACTGTAAGATGTTTTTTACCATTAATCTTGACACAGAATATTTTTCTATTGGCACAACAAAACCACAACCAAAGAGATTTCATTTCATTCAGAGCAACTAATGCAATAAATGCAGCATTTCATTGTGCTGCTCAAACTCTTTGTGTTGTTAACTGATGTTTCAAAGCAGGTTTTTGGAACCAATAAGAAAAACCACAGCGAAAAAAGACAAATGAAATTCAAAGTCAGGCTCTAAGTTCTACACAAAGCCTCTCTGACAACGTGGAGAACAATCCCATTTTTGACAGTCACACTAACCGTTTTTTTTGTGCAAAGCAAAGAAAAGCCACCAACAACCAAACGGCAAAAATTGATAATTATCAAACAAACTAACCACACATGTTTACTTTAACTCCACATATAAGCCACATACAGTAAACGCGGTATACATGATGATGGGGATGATCTACATGAGCACTTAACCCTGTAGACTCCAGTTTGTTTGGTTGGTTTTTTTTAATTTATTACCTGCTGCTCTCATCTTCCAATTTCTCCCTCTTGTTTTTCTCAGCATCCAGCTGTGCCAGAAGCCTGGCTTTCTCCTGCCGAAGCAAGGAATTCTGGGATTCCAGAGAGGCTAACTGGGACTTAATGGACAACAGTTCTTCTGTTGCTGATCGCTCTTTCTCCACAGCAATGGCTAGCTGCGCCTGGGCATCCGCTGTTTAGAGGGGGTGCAAAAACAAATCAAGCTTTTATTCCCCACTTTCTACGATACTGTAATTTGCTGTTTGTTTTACACAGACATGGTGTACAAGCTTAAATCCCTAAGTCTCACCAAGCCTGTCAGAGATATTCTTCTCAAGTTTTTCCCACGAGGCCGTTTGACCACCCAGTGAGGCCTGTAGGTTTTCAATTTGTCGCAGTAAAGGTCGCGTGGCAGAGGTAACGCTCTGGCTGAGCTCCTGGTTCCTAGTTTCTGCATCCTGAAGTCTCTGACAGAAGACAAGAAATGATGGCATGCATTAAAAAAAGAATCCTGTTGCTATATTTAAAAAAAGATGAGCTCTTTACTGTCATTGTACATGTACCACGAAATTGTTGTAAAATTATTTTCTTCTATCAAAATGTATTTTTCGTCTATTGAGATAATTTAGTTGAAAATAGTATGTTACCTGTTGAAGTTCACTGATCTCCTCTCTCAAATAATCTTCTTTCCTGGCCTGCTGTTGCTCTGCTCTCTGCAGTGCCAGCCTCAGGTCAGCCACCTGTACACAGCATTAGACAACAATATAATGTTGTGTTAACTATTTTTTAAATTGCACCAGTATCTTATATTTGATGTTTATCACATGTGTTTTATATATTTAGTGTGGCCCTTTGTTACCTGGTTTGCTAGGGCTTCCTGTTGTATCTTGGCCTCCTCCTGAGCCTTCTCCAGAGCCAGACTCAGCTGTTCTCTGGCCTGCGTCTCCCTGCTCAGAGCCACCTCTTCAGCCTCACTGGCTCTGCTGGCATTCACCTTGTGTAGTTCTGCTAGCTCCCTAACAGAGATATTGAAGAAGACCATCATCACTGTGACTTTCCATAAATATTACAATCAGCACATGTATCTATGTATATTTATTTAGAGTGGTCCCGGCTCTAAGGTAATATAATAATGAGATGCCTTCGGCTACGTTCACACTGCAGGTGAAAGCGCATCAAATCCGATTTCTTTGACCCTATGCGACCCATATCCGATCATGGTATGACAGTGTGAACGGCACAAATCCGATATTTTCAAATCAGAGCTGGGTCACTTTCGTATGTGGTACTGAATCCGATACATATCCGATGTTTTAGAAAGCGACTGCTGTGTGAATGGTCATGTCACATTAAATCTGTCTTTTGCGTCACTGACACAAGACAGACGCCAATTATCAGCTCCGGAGAAGACATTGCAAACGCTTCCTGGCCATCCAGTGTAGATGTTAGTGAAACTGTTGGGAAGACAACGTTGGAGAAACGTGAACATGTTATTTGTACTGTATAATCTGCAGATTCTGACAGAAATCTGCAGCTATCCTTTGAAGCACCGCTCCTCTAAAACAGCAATAAGGATAGTTATTAGGTTATCTACATTATTATGTAAATAAAATAACTTAAAGCAAAAATTGGGAAACGTAAAGTCCGAAGTCTTTATATTAAGGGCCATCAGTCAAACAATACTGTTTGCTCTGGGTCTAAA